TGCCACTGCAGTGGACACCATGCCCAGAAGCACATGCAGGATATGATAGTAAGCTCTTCTAGGCCAGCAGAGGATGATGAGCGACTCCTCAGAAGATGGAAAGTTGAACAGGTAGAACAACTCTCCTGGTCAAGTTTTGTAGCATGTGTCTGCATCTGTGGATGCACTGAGGTGGACTTAGTTAGCAAAAAGATCTCAGATTTCCCAACCCTGGTGCAACAAGGTTGACAACATCTCAGAACTATCAAAACCACTCAAGTAATATCCTTGGAACACTCTTCTCCACACTAGGGTCTCTAAGGGGTCATCAAATGACTCTCCCCTACCCTCAGGTGCTGATGTGGTGTGACGGCAAGGAGTGGCTCCCTCCCCTTCCACCACTGTGGACACAAGAGAATAAAAATAAAAATTGAAACATTTGTCTCACCCTTCTTCCTTCATACTCTGACCATTCTCACCCTGACCAAAGGCCCATGGGAGCGTGCACCCCTCTTAAATACGTAAATAATATTTAAAAAGCAAACAAAAAATGTTTAAAATAAGAAGTATTTTAAAATGTACTTCTAAATACTTTATTTTCCCATAGCTATAGTAAATGGGAATGCTTCCTTGATACCTTTTTCAAGTAAGTTGCTACTGTTATATGGAAAGAGCAGTGAAATCCTGTATACTGGTTTTGCATCCTGGTATTTGAATTCATTTATTATTTGTAAGAATTTCTTGGCAGAGTCCTTGGGGTTTTTTGTATGCAACTTCATATCCTACATAAACAGTTGTAATCTGAATTCTTTCTCAATCTGAATGCTCTTTATATTTTTCTTTCACCTAACTGCTCTGGCTAGGACTTCTAGTACTACTTAATAAAAGCATGCCAATGCTACATTTTTAATTTAAAAGATACTTAGAGAGCTCCTAGAGCTGGTTCACAATTCAAATGGCTACAATGACCTAAGCTACTAGGCTAACACCAGGAGCTAGAACTCAATCTGGGTCTCCCACATAGGTAGTAGACATATAATTACTTGGCCCATCCATGCTAGCTAGCTATCATGGTGTGCACCAGCAGGGAGCTGAAGCTGGGGCTGGGTCTGCTACCCAATCACTCTGACATGGGACATAGGCATCTTAATTGCTAGGTCAAATGCCAGACCCTAATCAGGGTTTTTTGTTGTTGTTACTATTTTTGTATTTTAAATTTTATATTAATTTTATTTTTTATAATGATTACATAGTGGATCAGGGTGGGAAGAATCAAAGTTTAGGGAAAACTGGGTGAACTCATTGTGTCCAAATTTGCTATTTGTTCTTGTTTCTGGGGGAAGGGGAAAGCCAAAGCGGAAAGCCACACGTGACTTTTCAAACATCCCAGTAGCAAGGGTTGAGGAACCACCACCTCCTATCAACCCAGAGTCTCAATGTGTACATATTCCTAGGGTTCTGCCCAGGTGGTTTGGGTTGTTCTGAAGTTATGCCGATTTCACCAATGCAAGTATGATGTCACCTTCCCAAGGTCCACTGGCTGATATAGTGAGCCTCAAGTCTCCATTCTCCAAGATTTTTTGCTGTCATAGTTTGGCTAGGGTAGTTGTCCAGTTGTGTTCTCCTTCTACTATAGCACCAAAGGAGCTACAATATTCTCCTTTTATAATTGGGCCTGTGTCCATTGCTCCACCTTTGCCATTAAGTAAGACATGTTCTACTATATAGCAGAAGGACCTGGGCCAGGTCACCCAAGCCTCACCGGGTCCTCCACTTCCTGGGGCTCACAAACCCGACCCCCCACCTAACAGGCAGGCCCTGGGATCTGGGCCAGGTAACCCAAGCCCTGCCGATTCCCCACCCCTGGGGCTCCCCAACTTGACACCCACCTCACAGGCAGGCCCCAGGACCTGGGCTAGCTGACCCAAGCACCATCAGATCCCCCATCCTTGGGGCTCAAGAACCTGGCCCCCACCAAGCAGGTGGGTCCTAGGACCTGAGCCAAGCCACCTGAGCCCTGTCCGATCTGCTGTCCCTGGGACTCATGAACCCAGCCTCCACTGGGTCCAGGCTGGCATGACTTGCCTCACTTCAGCATCCACAATCTTATTGCATAGCCTGGTCTGGTCTAGCCTGCCCCCTGTTCCAGCTCCTGCTGGTGGATACTGCAGCCTATCCCAGCCTAGCCTGATTGCTGTCCCAGTACTAATGTGAACTGGCCAGTATTGCAGCCCAATCTGGCTCCTCCTGCCCCCTGTCCTGGTTCTCAGATCTGACAGGGTGTTATGAACTGGCCCCCAGAATGGTTTGTCCCCAGACCTGACCCATATGTATGCCAGCGGGTACTGTAACCCAGCAGGTCTGGGTTGCTCCTGCCTTGCTTTTTGCATTCACCTGCAGGGACTGTGTCCCAATGAAGGGGTTTCCCAAGCTCTTCTATCAAGTATCTTCCCAGTGGCAGTTCTCCCACACACCAGTGGGTCCCTGGCCCAGGTTGACTTTGTCTACCTCCTGTCCTGGTAATAGTAGCCTTGTTCAACCGGCCACACCCATTCTGGTTCTTACTGTTAGGTGCTGCAGCCCAGCTAGACCTGGTCCACGCCCAGATATAGCTTTCACATGTAGTCAAAACCTAGCCCAGACTGTTCTGCACCCAAACTGGTTCTCACAAGTACCAGTGGGGGCTGGAGTCCAGCCCAATCTGTCACTCCCCACCCAAGGCTGTGGCTATGTCCAGCCCAGCTTGCTGCCCCCAATCCTACTCTCGTCCTCACCAGTGAAAACACCATCCCAGCTGGGGTGTCCCCTTAGCTCTCCAGCCAGGCCTGTTCCCATCAGTAGTTCTTGGGCAAGCCAGCAGAGGGTGAGTCCACATTTCCCCCACAGATTCTGTTATCAGACCCACTTCTTTCACTCTTGTTCTCCCCTCCAACCAATCTGGTATCAGACCCTACCTACATACATATGTCGTGAACTTATCTATGGAAAACACTCAGCTGTAATTCCTAACCTGGGCATAAAACTACAGGTCATCACTCACTGCCACCTGTGTGATCCCATCATCTCCCTGTAAATCAAGACCCCTCAAACCGCGAGGGCATGCTACTTTGCTCAGCACCTTTGGCACCAAGGCTGCCTGGGCCCTTCTTGGGGGAGCCACATGCCCCAGCTACATGTACCCATGAGGGTTAAAAGCTTCCAGGATGGGGTGGTCCTAGAAGCCTGCTGAGCATTCCTTCCCCCAGGAAGTCAGTATGCCCATGTGCATACCTGTACCGGTTAGAAAAGCCTCCAAGCTGAGGATCCTGAGGCCTACCGCCAACACCACTCCCCCAAAGCAGCCACACGGTCCAGTTACATGCACCCATGCGGGTAGAGACAGAAAGATGCACCATCTTGTGATTCACTCCCCAAAGGCCCATAACTGCCAGGGCTGGGCCAGGCCAAAGCAGGAACTCAACTCAGGTATTCCATATGGGTGGCAAGGATCCAGGTACCCAAGCCCACTGTAGGCCCCGGTCTCCCAAGGGTTAACTCCACAGCTTAGCTTGGTTCTCAAGGTGTAACAGGAAGGGCAATCATGGCCTGATACATTTAGCCCCTGGCTTAACTGCAATTTCCCTCCTTCCTGCTTCCCCTTTTTGCACGGGAGCTTAGGTGTTGCTTAAGCATTGGAAAAATCCTGGGAGGGGCCAAGCAGACTATATAAGAGCAGTTCAACTTTGAATAAACGGGCACTCACTTCACAAGAATGAGCCTCAGTGTGTTGTGTGTCTTGTCTGTCTTGTCTGTCTCATAACCCTAGTCCCTCTGCTCGACTCAGGGCTGGAAGTACGTGGCGACGCGGGCATTGCCAACAGCCCTCACTTGTTGACTTCTAGCACACACACCATCAAGGAGCTGAAATTCAAAGTGGAGCTAGAACTCACACCCAGGCACTCTGATACAGAAAATGAGCATCTCAAGGGGAGTCTCAACCACTGCACTTAACAGCCTTCCTTATAACTTGTTTTCTTTTTATATTTCTATCTTCTCTTTCCAACTGTTCATTCTTCCAGAACAAATATAATCTCATAGTTTTCCTCAATGTAGAAACTATGACACTCCTAGATTTAAATCCTAGTTTTGTAACCATTATATAACCACAGGCAAGTTACTTACCCTTCTCATAATTTGCTTTATATATAAAATAGGAATAATAATATAGAAATATAGCACTAATTCATAGGGTTACTATAAAACAATAAACAAAGCACCAGATACACAGCCCTTAGCCAAGATCTAATAATATCCCAGTAATTGATGCTGACAACTTCGTTGTAATGGTCAATGCACATGGCACAAAACAGTTACTCACTGGTTGTACAAATAAAATGGGAAAGCGTAACATAAATAATAAAAATACTAATAATTCTACTCCACTCACAAAATTACCTATTTTGATACAATATGTACTACATATATGCCAATATGTACTATATCTCTAACAAAAATAATACCTGCTTTAAAAGTCCACAATTAATTTTAGAACTTCATATACAAAGCAGTAGACAAGTATATGTAAAACAAACCAGGAAAAAAAATACAAAAATCCTAAAGGGATAATCAGGGAGACTGATGGATTAAAATATTAGTCACAAATTAAATAACACAGAAATATGTTCATTGAATAGGTACTTTCAAACATTTTAAAAGCAAGTTAAAATATTCCATCAAAATTTTACTTAACAGTAATTTATTTATCTAAAACAGTTTTATGTCTCAATATGATACTGAAATGCAAAATAAATGGTCAGATACTCAGCAAATAGTTTTGGTACTTATTTCTGAATAGTAGAATTTCAAATGATTTTTTTCTGGCAGTTTACTCGTATTTACTAGTGCTTCTAAAGTGAATCTGCGTTAGTTATGAGCTAAACATTAGAGAAGATTTTGAAGATTAAAACACTGAAATCTCTGCATTTCACTCACAGTTTGCACAAAATCATCTGTGTTGATGTAAGCCATCTTTTTCTACATACCTTTATCCGATGCTGCTTTTTTAGTGTATTCAAGTATGAGGTGCTCTGGCTCCCATGGTAATATTTTCTCTTTCTTCTTCCCACGTCTTCTTTTAAAGTGATGAGCCAGAAAAATTACAGATACAGCACTCACTGCAGTTACCACAAATAACTTTTTAGCTACTGGTGAAAATCTGATCTGGAAGAGAGGCAGTTAGATTGAAAAAAACTCTTTATCTGTTTGCCTAAAACAAGAACACTGAATTTTTTATCTAACCTATTTGTAAATACTGTTATGAGAATATGAATGTAATTCCACTCTTCTAGTAAGTTAGTCCAACTTGACTTAAACATTTAATGTAACAATTTACTACTCACTGCTCTTAAGTGCTCAGGTAAACAGTATCCAGAAAGTTAATGGCAGTAGAAAACAATGTTGGGCTGGTGCAGTCAGTAGCACATCAAGTTAACCCTCTGCCTACAGCATCGGCATCCCATATGTTGCTGGTTCAAGTCCCAGCTATCTCATTTCTGATCCAGGAAAAGCAGGGGATTGGCTCAAGTCTTTGTGCCCCTGTACCCACTTGGGAGATCTGGAGGAACCTCCTGACTCCTTGCTTCAAGCTGGCTCAGCTCTGGCTGTTGTGGCCATTTAGGGAGTAAGCCAGGGAATGACGAATCTCTCTCTCTCCTTCTCTCTATAAATCTACCTTTCAAATGAAAATAAATAATCTTCCAAAAAAGAAAAAGGCCATCTCCTTTTCTCCCCAACCAAGCCTGTTCCCAGCCACATATGTTAGCGCGGTGGCTTAGTATGCTAATCCTTCCGTTGCAATTCCAGCATCCCATATGGGTGCTAGTTTGAGTTCCAGCTGTTCCACTTTTGATCCAGCTCACTACCTATGGCCTGGGAAAGAAAGGAGAATTTCTCAGGTCCTTGGGCCCCTGCAGCCACGTCGGACACCCATAAGAGCTCCTGGCTCCTGGCCCTGGACCAGCTTAGCTCTGGCCACTGCAGCCACTTGTGGAGTGAACCAGCGGATGAATGATCTTTCTGTCTCTTTGTCTCTCCTTTCCTCTGACTTTCCAATAAAAATAAATAAATCTAAAAAAAATAATAACAGTGAAGGTTAAGACTACAGCAAGAGACCATCCACATCAATTTGTGAGTAACAAAATCAGTCTTACGTCTGCCCTAATCTTAGATCACAATTAACAGAATAGCCAACACCACAGACATGTCAATTGGATCAGCTTAAACAAGTCTGACTGAAAAATCAAACTGAAGCAAACTTTATGTTCACTGAGTGCAGAGCAAAACTTTCCATTGAAATTTCATTTTTTATATTTCTTTTTATTAGAAAGGTAGACCAAATTTATAGAAATTTGGAGAAACAGAAAGATCTTCTATCTGCTGGCTCACTTGCCAAATGGCCACAATGCCAGAGCTGAGCCAGTCCAAACCCAGGAGCCAGGAGCTTCTGCCAGGTCTCCCATGCAGGTGCAGGGTCCCAAGGATTTGGGCCATCCTCTACTGCTTTTCCAGGCCACAAACAGGGATCTGTATGGGAAGTGGAGCAGCTACGACATGAATTCATGCCCATTTGGGATTCCGGTGCTTGGAGGTAGGGAATTTGCCAATTGAGCCATTGCTCCATGCTGGAAATTTCACTTTTTTTTTTTTTAAAAAAAAGCTATTTTTGTGGATCAGCACAGTGGTTCAATTAGCTAATCCTTGCTTGTGACCCAAGAAAGCAGCAGAAGATGACCCAAACCTTGGGACCCTGCACCTGCATGAGAAACCCATATGAAGCTCCTGGTTCCTGGGTTTGGACTGGCTCAGCTCCAGACGTTGCACCCATTACCATTTGGGGAGTGAATCAGTGGATGCCATTTTTTTTTATCTTTCTTCTCTGTAAAACCTCTCTTTGCGATAAAAATAAGTAAGTCTTTAAAAAGAGAGAGAGAGAGAGAGAGATGTATCTGAAAAGCAGAGATACAGAGAATGGGGAGAGGGGTCCCCTTCAATACACTAGTTATTCCCCAAATGGCTATAATGGCTGTAGCCGGTTCAGGTTGAAGCCAGAAGCTTGAACTCCAGCTGTGTCTCCTATACAGGTGACAGTGATCCATCCACTTGGGCTATCTGCTGCTTTCCCAGGCACATTAACAGGAAGCTAGATCAGAAGCAGAACACCCAGGACTTATACTAGCAATCTGGTATGGAATATCAGCATTGAAAAGTGTGGTTTGACATGCTGTGCCACAAGGCTAGCCCAACAAGTGAGATCAAGGTTCTGAAGCATTTTTCCCCCCAGAAAACTGTAATGAGATAAAACATGGCTTCACTAACATGATCCTGAAGTATACGATGCTTGATAGCAACTACTAAGAAGTAGAAGTAGTTCACTCAAAGCAAAAGTGTATGGGCCAAAAGCAAATGTCTCGGGGAGAGGGGCCAGGTGAGTTTGTCCTCGGGTCTTGGACAGATGAACCTCCCCGGTAGTGTGGCAGCTGCTAGAGGCATCTGCACCAGGTCGGACTCAATGCTTGGGGCCCTAGGTACAGCCAAGCGGTGAACAAATCCAGGACTTGCCTGGCTGCCTAACAGTGAGCTTTGGGCTCTTAAGGAGATGTGAAATTGCTGCTAGGAACATCCATGAATAAGACCACTGTACTTACAGGTAAGGAATGAATCCTGAGGGACTCCCAGTGACAGGGACATTGTACTGGCAGATAAGCAAGCAGGGACTGAGACGTGATCATTTGGAGGGGAGATGCAGGGCCTGGTCTCCCAAGGGTTAACTCCACAGCTTAGCTTGTTTTTCAAGGGGTAACAGGATGCACAATCTTGGCCTGATACATTTAGCCCCTGGCTTGACCACAAGTTACTGCTTCCCTGCTTCCCTGCTTCCCATTTATCAAGATGCCCCCGGGGGATCTTAGGAGCTGCTTAAGCATTGGAAAAATCCTGGGAAAAACTAGAGAGCATAAAAAGGCAGACTGGAGTTCAATAAAGCGGCATTCTCTTTGCACGAATGACTCAGTGCATGTTGTCTTCTTTTCAACCCTAGTCCCTCCGCTCAACTTGGGGTACATGGTGATGCAGGTGTTCCCAATAGGGAGAGACCACAAGATTTGTATGGGTCAGACCGATACACCATCCCACATGAGAGTCCTGAGTAGGGCTAGTTAGCATGGAACATTGTTGACTACTACACACCAGTCCACACAAAAGCTAGAGCCTAGGGCTTATCAGGGCTAAATTCCAATACCAGAATAAATGTCAGAACAGGGGATGGGTCATACTAGCCAGGGTCATATCACCAATCAGCACACAAGAGAATCAGGTCTGGGGATAGTTTCTGTGGGAGATATGTGAGCAAAACTGTGGAAATACAAATCCCCCTGGTTAGCTCAAGAGTTGGGGTGATGATGGGTTGACCTAGGTGTGACCTTGGAACCTGCCAACACTCACGCATACAGGGGCTGAGAATAGTCTGGGCAGGTCCAGGCTGCAGCACTCACATGTGCATCCTAAAATAGGGTATGGTGTGGGCCAGGTCACAACATTCACCAGCTCATACTGCGCCAAGATGGAGGAGCAGACTATGCCAGGCAAGGGCCTAGCAACCACTAAAATCTGGGTGTAGTAGGCCAAGTGGGGAAACCTGGGCAATTCCCCTAGTGGGTAATAGCTGCCGCTGGTGACCACTTGCTCCAGGCCCGGGGGTTGGGCGAGCTGGGCAAGGTAGCTCCAACTGATGGCAAATGTGTGGGTTGTTTTGAAAGGGGGCAGACCTGGAGGAGCTGAGCAAATCTTAGCTCACCAGCAAGTGCAGAAACAGGTTGGAGCACAAGTCATGCCGGACTAGGCTATCACATCTACCAGTTTGTATGAGCCTGGGATGGGAGCAGATGGAGCAGAGCCAGGTTCCAGCACCCACCAGCAAGAGTTGGAACTGGGGACAGGCTGGGTCAAACAAGGCTATAGCATCCAAAGGCAAAAGAAAAGACAGGTGAGGGACTACGCCAAGCTAGGTCAGAGCAACCACTGGCACACACAAAATATGTAGCTGGGAACAGGCCTGTTTGGGGAGGAAAGGGGATGCCCTAGCTGGGTTGTGGTTCCCACTGGTAAGTGCAAGTGCCAGAGTGGGGCTGCTATCTGGTCTGGGCATGGCTGCAGTGTCTCTCGGCACAAGTGTGTACTGGGTCTGGAGTCAGTCAGACTGGGCCAGACTCCAGCACCCACTGGTGCTCATGAGAACCAGGGTAGGTATAAGACAGGTTAGGCTAGATCTCTGCCCCTGCTGAGCCATGTGTGAGCTGTGTCTGGGTGTGGACCAGCCTTGGCTGGTCTGAAACACCCAACAGTAAAAACCAGAATGTGTTGAAGGCCAGTCTGGAAAGGTCACTGTTCCTGCTAGGACAGGAGGTGGACTAGGGCTGGCTCATGGACGCACCAATGGGCACTAGATCTGGCACTGAGAGAGGCTCTGATGGAGGAACTTGGGAAACTCCTCTGTCAGGATATATTTCTGCAAGTGAGCGCAAGAACCATGATAGGGAGCAGCCCAGATCAGGCAAGGGAAAGGTACCCACAGGCATACATTTGGCACAGGCTGGGGGTGAACCAGGCTGGGCCAATTCATATCACCCAATGGCGAATCCTAGTGCCAGAATGGAGTGCGGGTTGGGCTGGGTGGGTCAAAACACAACCCAGCTCACATGAGGGCTAGGACTGGAGGCTGGGTAGGCTGGGTTAGGCCATAGCCTCTACCATTGTGAGTTGGAATTGGGGCTGGGCTGGGCCCAGCCAGGTGCAGCACCCACTGGCAAATGCCAAGGTGAGGCAGGCCATACCAGACTGGGCGGCAGCACTCAACCAGCACATGTGAGACCCAGGGAAAAGAGGGCAAAGCCAGCGGGGGGGGGGTGGGCGGGCTGTGAGGGGCCTATTGGCCTCATGTGAGCTGAATTAGGGAAATGTCAGGCTGGGTTGACTTCCGGTGCATGCATAAGTCAGAGTGGGTGTAGGTTAGTTGGGCTTTACCACAGCATCAGCTGCAGATGCCGGCATGGGGGCTAATTCAGTCAAGGTAAACTGCAGAATCATCCAGAGAGTGCAAGATCCTAGAGTGGGAGTGGGCCCAGTAGAGAAACAGTGGGCACCTCCCTCCTGGGTTGCCACTCTGA